TTTTATGGACCTTTCTGTCTCGGACACATAGTCCTCCATTATTTGAATGTCAGCAGACAGCAAGAAGCCTCCCAGATCTCCAGATGCATTTGAGATATCAAAAAAGTACTCCAGAGTGTTGTTCAGCATGGGGGTGAGTAGAAAATGAAGGCTAATCATGTTTTGGGTGTACTATTCCTTTAAGAAAAAGATGCAAAATTAATATACATACAAAACCTACACCAAAACAATAAACTATACACCTGAAGTAATATTTACATACATGGAAATCAATACAAATAAACAAATCTAAAGTCAATCACAAAAACCCATCAAACTTAACAAAACTCATCCCAAACTACCCTTCTGATAATTTTGATTTACCTTTTCAGCCACGGCCTTCTGCGGAGCCAAACCAGGAAAAGGAAGGTACTTTCATTTAACATAAAGAGAAAATAAGGAAGAATAATTGACATTAATGTTTACACTTTCATTCCACAGGCAGGATGGCCAATCCTTCTGCATCACAAAAAAGCATGCCAAAAATAACTGCAATAAAGAACTCAAACAACCCAACTATTTGCTCCAACTTAATATTACTTAACACAAAATCAATAATCATATTTCATGGGGTAATGGGACTCCTGCTCCCCATTTGAGTGTGATTAGATAGAGTAGTTACATATTCTATATTATCTTTCTGTCATTCTATATGATGAGACTGTGTAAAAAAAAACAACAGACGTTTAACATCTCATTAGTTTGGTAATACTTAGCAAATTCACAAAAATCTGGAATAAAATTCTAAAAATATATATTTGTTTTCTATTAAGGTATTGATGTAAATAAAGAAGACAGTCTAGTAAAGACACATTTATCAAGCAAGGAAGAATTCATTATTTTATTCTTTATTTACACCCATATTCTGCTGTAGAGCAGATCTGTGATCAGTTTTAATGACTCAATAAAAAAGAAATGTCTTCAGTCTGTTGCAGTCAGTGGCTCTCTAGAACAGGGGGCCAGTTCCTGTTACTGAGGGCCGATATCCTGCAGCTTTTAGATGTTTCCTTTCTCCAACACACCTAGAGCTTGGCTTGGCATCTGGAGCAGAGGCTTTGCTGCTCCAGACAATCAGCCTGAGGGTCCCAGACCTGATCTCATGTTTACATTGTTATGATCAGATTAAAGAGGATACAAATTAAAATCAGGAGAGTGTGACACTTTAGCAGATTCCCAAGAGGCAAAAAGATGTCTACATAATGGATCATAAAGCTTTACTGTTCTGGATATTAAT